ATATATATATGGGCATATTGGAATTCCTCAATTTTAAGAGAACCACATCAACGTTCAAACGTGAGTTACAGACGTTTTACTACGAAAGTATTTAAATAATATTTTCTGCCAGCGATGTAGGAAAATAATATTAGGAACGACAGCATAAAACATCCGTTATTGACGAGGACATGTTTGTATCGGTTTAATTCTGATTGAAACATAAGCATTGAACAATGCTTACGTTTTAAGCTTAAATTTGATTACGGTGGCAGTGTATCAGTAATCACTAGCACCATCAGGAAACTACTCCTTCAACCATCTTTTGTTTCCTGTTGTTTTGGATGTATTGCCCATCGCCCATTTGTTTGTTTTTTGTTTTTTTTTTGTAACATTTTGTAACGGTTCATTATACTTCTTCAACGTTTTCAATATCCAAGTCATAACAATTGTGCTGGCATTTGCATCAAACACCCATAGTTTATGATGATTGTGTATGGTGGCAAGGAGTGGCTTGACGATTAGAAGTAGTGAAAGAAGGATGAAACAGGAGTAGGACTGAACTACTACGATGGGGAAGGTGAAAAGACTGCTCGTACTTTGGATAGTGTTCCTAAGGTCATACAAAACGGCAGCGTAAACGCATGTAAACGCGTTTGTTTTTGGGACATGTGCGTATCCCTGGCCCTACCGAAAGGTTTTTTGGGCGGAGTTTTTGGGACATGCGCGTATACCTAGACATACTGAAAGGTCTATTGAGGCGGAGGTGGCCTTTGGAAAGAGAGGTGTTCTTCAAAGTGTGAGAGACGGGGGAGTGAATTTTAATTTGATGTTGTGCCCAGTGAAGTAACCATAAAATGTGCAATAGCAATTCTTATAATATTAGTCAGTAAGGTTAACCAATTAGAGTAGGGGGGGAGGGAGGGAGATGCCCCGTCGAGGGGTCAGATTTTCCCGACGAAAGCAATGTGGGCGTGGTCAAGGTTCTATTAAAATGCCCCGAAAGTGGTCCAGGGGCGAAGCCCCCGAAAATTTTGACAATTTAGGGGTTTCAAAGGCTTATTTAATCGATTTTAGAGTCTACTAATGTGTAGAAAATACATATGATTTTTTCTCTCCCCGACGAATTGTGCTTTTTCTCCCCAACAGTGTGGCCTGCCCCGCCCCCTCTGGCGCCACCCCTGATGTTGTGTCCAGTGAAGGTAACCTATAGAGTTAGCAATAACAATTCTTATAATCTCAGTCGGTGAGTTTAACCAGTAGGAGTGGAGCAGTTGTGGTTTTGGGACATGCGCGTATTCCTGGACGTATTCTAATTGGTCAGTTGCACATTATTGACATTACAGAAAGGTCCATTGGTGCGGAGGTTGCCTCTGGAATGCGAGAGGTTCCTCGAAGTAAGGGAGATGAGAGAGAATGTTGTGCCCAGTGGAAGAATGGCTAACCCACAAAGTAGGAAATAATCATTAGGCTATATTTTAGAAGGGTAATGTCAGTCGCTAAGTTTATCCAGTTAAAGTAGAGACATTGTGGTGTGTTTATAGATTAAAAAATTGTATGCACTCATTAATGTTACGTTTCGAGATTTTGACAGCGATATTAATACCATGTAAAATGATATTACCTCGAGAAATGAATCATGCTTCTTTAAGAATAAAAGAATTAAGATAACGATGATTGTATGTCCCCTACTTCCACTACAAAACCCTACGGGTTAAATTTGATAACTATCATATTCACTCAGTGTCTTTAATAAGTGTAGTCTAATACGGAATCATCCATAATACGCCATCAAGTTAAAAAAAACAATGATGGTTGGATATTTTATACGCGATGTCCATTTAGGGAGCATAGTGTTTCTTCATTCAGAATTCGTAGCCAGAATAACGGGATCGCCTTTTTCATTACTACCTTACGTTAGTTTAATTGGAATAACTAAGCGCCTTCGGTACGTTTCGATTGGATTTTTTGATAGTAGACTGTTCGTGGTTGAAGTGAAGCGTTTAAGAACATGTGGATTTGTCGCCTGCTTAAACTGTGATGTCAACGGATCGATATAGCGGAAATCATAGAGCCTAGCAAACGCTCGCAGTGTGATGATAATGGTATTATGCCCAACTGCGAGTTTTTCAATACAATTCATTAAATCACCAAATCAGTGTTAAAAACGATCCCAACTACAGCGATCTCAAAACCAGATTGCTACTGAGTGAGCCACTATTGAATCTTCACCAAATAAGCCTAGCAGAACCATCACAATCATCATCATCATCACTATTATAATTATTTTGATGTGATTTTGCGTCAGAAAAATAGCATAGGAGTGATGTTTTGCCTTATCACCACTAATCATTATCATAATCATAAGTTCTTTAGAATTTTCATCTTATTCATTGGCTACTATCGAATCTATCCCTTTCATCATTACCGCTATCGTAGCATCATCAAAAATAATAATAATCATCATCATCATCGTCATCATCAACATCATCGTCTTCAGCATCATTTTCTTCATCACATTATCATTATTATTATTATTATTATTATTATTATTATTATTATTATTATCATTATTATTATTATTATCATTTTATTATTATTATTATTATTATTATTATTATTATTATTATTATTATTATTCACCATCGTCATTATCATCTTCATCCTCCTTCTTACCTTCATTTTAAATTCCTAACGTTTATTGACAAATTGCCAAAATTTAACAATTTACTATACGCATCAAAAGAAGCGACTGCTTGTCGCTTGGGATACCAAACACACATACATATACCCACAGGATACATATGCAAAGATAGCAACAAATTGTAATTTTAATTTAGGGTCGCTCACAATTGTCAGCACCTCCAAAAGAATCAACATCTTATTAATTAAAATATTTTATGATTATTAGTATAGTATTGTTATTATTATTGTCAGCATGGACGTATTTTCGGATACGATTTTATAGGAACATGAATTATAATCAAGTCTGAAGCATTGTTCGTATAGACGTTCATTACCTCCAATTACGATTGTTATCAATAATTTAATTACTTATTTTCATATATTAAAGCTGCCCTAATTAATCGTTATTTCTATCAGTCATTGATGTATCAACATTAGTATTCAATATTCATATCATGAAAGACTTGCAAAGAATGAATTTGATTCAAGCGAAGTAGTTAGATGTTGACCTCTAGTGAGGAACGGGACAAAACACTGTCCTGACTCGTACGTGCGCGCACACTATTACGTCATATCATGCATCAATTTGTTGAATCATAATGAATTTTATATATACTCTAGATTCCTCGCAATAATTAAAAACATCAGATGCATGAATATTTTTTTTGTAACCATGCCAAAATGCAGAGATACGTTCCGATTTATACAATCTAAACTCAATGTTTGATTTGTACTTCATTTGTGCATTAATTTCTTTCGCATTTGAGCATTTAACACTTGATTTACATTATGTGTGCTTCCTATGTTTACATTATATTTACATACAGAATGTAAAAGATGAAACCGGGCCGTTGGCTTGTATTTCTTCATTCAGGGCTTTATATGACACATTTTTAGAATCATCATCAGGTTTAGTATTGGCTGTAGGGCCTTAACTCATATAATTGCGATTTCATATACAGTACTTTCTTAAACCGATATTGCATATCAGGAAATACAAGCAATTTTGTATTTTTATTTCTAAATATTTCCCGGGTAATGATCCGAAAACATTCTTTGTTATATTTTCAGCTTTCCGTTAAAAAAATACACCAGTGTATGAATCAACCGAGTAAGCGAAGCACTCGTAGAATATA